GATCCTTTTTATGAATACCTTGCGGCGGTCTAGTGGAATATTTTGTGAACTAGAGAGGGGTGGAAGATGGACCTTACCTTTATCTCTGTATGGGAGAAGTAAGAATGTTCCCTATGTCCGGAGGGACATCATCGGAGAACCATGACAGTAGCGGAATGGTACCAGAGACATTAAGAAGGCCAATGAATTGGTGTTCCCTTAATTGTAATGCGAGTAGAGTTGAGAGGTGATTCGGAAGAGTACAATGGAAGAAACTTTTATCCTCAAACACCTTGACTACCATAGGGCAGCGTTCACTTTCACGTGGTGATTGTTCTGTCGATATGAGTGAACTTTGAACGAAGCTTAAGCCAATCAAATAAATAGTTAGACGACAGCTTCATAAACATACTAGAGCGCTCTAAAACTAATGAAACAAAATTAGACGTGGGGACACGGTAGCTGCTCGTGGTACGCAATTGCACTAGGCGATGCATGCAGTTTTCCATCTACGATACAACATGGACGGCTAAACCACGAGCACTACCTACGGCTTCTCATGTGATTCAGGCTTGTCGTCCAGGTAACTCGATCATGGTTGTAAGCTTACGTGTTCTTTCAATTGTCACGGTAGCCACATAAATCGATGCTTCGTCTGAGCAGGCATTTTTTCATTGCCCATGTGAAATCTTCGTGTCAAATTCGCGGAACCTTTGATGCTTCTTTACATCTTTCATTTATGGGTAGCAAGGACATTAAGTACAAGTGTCAGCATTGACCACTTCAAACTTCGAGTACCACCTTGTTGGGAAGGGAAGGGACGAACGTATATCATCTGGGAATGCGTGGAAACTAGAAGTAGCAAGGCGCATTCTCATGGCTTTTGAGGAATTATAGTTTTGTTTTGGGAGCATTTGTCCAGTACTAGTTGATGCGGAACCATTGTGGTTTCGTTGGTCCCTATACATCGATCTCAGTGATTTCAGACATGCGTTGGAATTCAGTTAAGAGCTGGTAAGAAATCTCAGTGTGAAGCTAAAATATGTGTTGGCCAACAGATGTTGGTGGGTGTCAGTCAGGGGGCTTATGTTGCGGCAGCACGGAAGTTCCTGGCTGGTTGACTCAGCTTCCCGTTGCACTTTTTCGTCAAATCACTTGGTTAGGCTTCGTACACGTTTTCTACTTTATTCAATCTAGTGCCGTGATTGTTAATGTGTTCTCCCATGCCGTCCATTTGCTTCAAAAATTCACTAAGTTGCTAAATTCCTTTATTTGGTTTAGGGTTTTGAACATGTTGAAGCCGTGTTGTAGTGCAAAGGAGAACTACGTATGCCCTTAACCCCTACTCACATCTCACTCGACGACCCTTTTGGAGGAAAATTTGGGCAGATGGGACAAGTTGGAGTGTGTCGTCGTCTGATAATCTCCGTATCGAACAGTATAGAAACAGCCCCGATGGTGAGACTGATAGGGCTCAATGTTTAGGTGATGAGGGGGGGGTGGGGATCCGTACAAGATGATGCTCTGGAGTGAGAATGGGGACATGCGTGAGTTGACGCACATCATGATGCCAGACTGCCATTCACAAGGGTGGGGCATTTGGTAGCCCCACAGAAATTGCTTAGGACTAAGCCTTGTAAGGGGAGGGAATCCGAGGTGGGTGAGCCAATTGCATTGTGGCAAAAGTTTGAATGTGTGAGATCGCAGTGGTGATGAGCCGCTGATAAGGTGAGAGAGCGCAGACGAAAGCGTCGAGTGAGGCAGCTTAAAGGGCCGAGTTGCAAGTAGTCCGTCGACCCCTGACGTGGCCTCATGACCGTAACGGCACATTTCCATTTGCCTTGCTCCTTGTTTCTCTTGTCAGCTGCTTTTTGAAAGTTACTATTGTCTCCCCTCCCTGAATTTGTCAAACGCTTCCTCGATACTTCCTAGTGCCATCTCTTCTGTGAACCTTTCTTTCTTCATTGTAAGGCTTAGCTTTCCATTTTTTCGAGTTTTCATCAACTTCCTTTCGCCATGACTATAATATCATTTATCTCCCTTACGTGTCCTGTTCTTGGATTGCATGGTCCTGGTTATCTATTTATTTACCTGGCCACATGCTCTTTTTATACTTCTTTGTGTTTTTTTGGCTTTTTTTTTATCTTTTCTTTCCATTTCTTTTTTCCACTACGC